AGTATCTCATGAATATAAACATGAGTAGCTTGGTCTGCTTTGATCTGGGCCTGGCTGAGAGCCCCGAATGGAGTGGGCTGGAGCTGCCTTTGCACAGCTCTCTCTGCCCATTTTAACCATTTGCATAATTGCCATAACTGTCGAGGCCAGCGGTGCAAAACACTTGATAAATGTGGATTGTATTAGAAGCGAGAGGAAATGCCAGAGTGCCACTGTGAGTGTCTGTTCTCAAATGTGGTAGAAAGTAAGAATAAAATAAGGATGCGAGTATGTCACGAGCGTGAATCGACAGCTGGAAGGCCCAGTCATCAGCTGGGATGATCCTAGGTCTGATCTCCAATATATTCCTGCCTGGCATGCTGACTTTTTTTTCTAATTTCAAGATTCATTTAAATCGTTAAGCAACACAACATTATAAATGGAAATTGCACATGCAGTTTCTCTTTAATAAGTACAGGCTGTTTCTTCATGCTTGTGCCTGCTAAGTAATGCACATAGTAATGCACATAGTGTTGACTTTGATGGCATATTGCTGTTGCATAACTGGAAATGTGCTGCTGATTAGCAGTCAGTTCCACTGACTAGTTTTTGCTTATTTTCCCATTATTGCTCTTACTAACGCAGGCTTCAGTAGGAGCAAGAAAACTCTAATTTTACAATGCTTTTAGGGACTGTTGTGAGATTTATGAGTCACCTGCTAAGCAGCATCCTGGGAGAGAAATAATCAAATACCCACACTTCTCTTAGAGAAGCTTACTCTGTCAGGTTCAGTCTCATGCTGGCATACTTTTACCTTAGAGTGTTTTTTGGCAGCTGCGTCTCAAATAGTGACAAATTGCACAAAGAAGGCAAATTTATCACCCCCCTCCACCCAGGCTGTCTGTTAATGTATAATGTAAATACAAATAGTTGCTGACAAGTAAGTGTGGTCAGGACCGATGCTAAGTATTCGAGATTGGTTATAAATGGGCTAAACAAGTAAAAGGTCCCTATATGGCCTCTTTGAAGTCTAACTGTTCTTTAGGTGCCACATCAGTTGGCTGAACATGAAGGGAACCCCTTCCTCCCTCGGGTCCTGTTTATAGTCGGAAAGGCTGCGGCGCACTTGCATGTTTTATGGTCTCGAGAACGTTTTATGGCTGCTGGGGGTGTTTATGCACGGGAAGAGAGAGGGTCAAAAGGGTGAAATCAATAGTGATCCTTAATGAGGTTGCTGAAAAGAAGGAAAGGAGCGGATATGCCGGCAGTGAGAGGGAGGCTGTATGGTGAACACGCTGACAGAGTAATCAGGCCTCTTACTTGGGTATTCTGGTGATTTAACAGCTTGTTTCGTTTTGGCAACAGATAATGCAAATGAGTGTATTTCCAACAGTAAATCTAGTGTCATAAAACAACACACGGTGTGACAGGCTTTCATGAAAGGTAGGAGAATTTGCAAAGAAAATGAGCTGCCACAGGACTTGATTTTCCATAATGTGCATTGTCAACCAAAAAGCATCTCACTCTGCCTTTTTTAAGGAAATGAGTTGTAGTAACCTAGCTGGATCAGAGTTGCATAACAGGCTTACGATGGGACATATGCTGTCCGACCTCAGAGGAAAACAGCATTACCCTGACAGGGTACACGTTTCACATAATCCTGTGGTCTTTTCCCTGTGGGGAAACATAACTCAAGCCTCAGAGATAGAAAGATAACCGTGATAACACGTTTGGGGATTTGCCCGCTTTTGACATCATTTCGGTTTCATTGCTGTTGTCTAACGCGCATTGAGCTCAGCTTTTACGAGTTTGTTTTCTAGTGCGGTGCTGTGCTCGGCTGCAGTGGGAGGCTGCGTTGTTCTAGCTGTGCTGTTGGACAGCTGTCGGTACAGACAAACACAGCTGATGAAACGCGTGTCAGCTCAACCGCGTCCTCAGAGGATTAACATCCACTAACAGTAGTAAGAGGGGCAAGAGGTGGGGTTTATTTCAGCAAAGGAGAAAAGCCAGTGTCAGTCGCTCCAACATTTTGGTCCACAGTGAAAATCTAAAAAATACTGGATGTGAATCTTTCCAGTAAAATATGTCAGGACATTATAAATGGATTGGCACATTTATTACAACCCCAATTCCCCCCAATATTGGAACATGGGCAGTTAAAAGATGGAAAAACAAGTGGTACTAAAAAGAAAAAAGCTGGAGGAACACTTTTATAACTAATTAGGTTAACTGGCAGCAGTTCAGTAACATGACTGGGCATAAAAAGAGTATTCACAAGTCTGCACAAAACTGGGTCTGCAAATAGTTTATCAAATTCATTATAATGTTCCTCAACATGAAATTGCAAAGACCATGAATATGTCATTATCAACAGTACATGATATCATCGAAATTATATCCACAAGTATTTTAGGTTAGTATCTTGCCCAAGGATATTTGGCATGCAGACAAGGGGAAGCCAGGAATCAAACCACCAACCTTCCGACCTGCTCTGCCCCCTGAGCTACAGCCACCCCTGCGGTTTCCATTGTATTAATCCAGTGACTCATTCTCTGACCTCTACTTCCTATTTACTCCCAGTGTTTTGGTTTGCATGCATTTGCATCGCAATGCAAAAGATGCCTTGTAAATGCATGCCTTCTACAGTGCTGGTGGTAAACATCAGCCTATTGGCATGACAGTGGAAGCTCGACTTTGCAGCTCTGCAGAGCTGCTACCACAGTCACAGACTCCTTTTCTATAGTTTGACATGTATAAAATTTACCACTAGCAATATTTGTGATCAGTTTATCTACTAAAGAATGACAAAACTCTGACACTCTAGGTCAACAAAGCATTTGAGGCCACAGTGAAAACGCTATGGACAAACATCAAATTAACTAATTCTTTGTTTTTCTCTTTTTTACAGAGCACCTTCTCTCCCCACTGTGACCTGTAATCAATGGCAACCTCGGTCCAGACTCTTCCTTTGACTCGTGGCCCCAGCAAAAACTTCCGCGACCCCTGCCCAGCCCCGCCCCTGTCCCCGCGTTGCGGCATGGGAAGTGTAGGCAGTCTGGTGGAGAGGCCGGATGTTTCTCCGACTAAAGGCAACCGAGCAGTGCCCCAGGTGAGACCGAAACACAGCAACGGGCTCTTGAAGAAAGGCTTCACCCAGAGAGAGCTGCTCAACTACCTCAACATCAACAGGTGGGTCCTGATGAGGAAAAAGTTCCCTCGTAGGAATTCGAAACATCAGGTTTTTGAAGGTGAAAAAGTCTGCAAGGTGTTATAAAAATGATAGAACGTGACCTAAGCAGGCTTACTTTGCTTCCAAACAGAAAAGAGCCTAAAGCGAGCCCGAGCAACGACGGCAAGAAGGATATTATCCCGGGCCTCAGCGCTGTCAGTGCACGGGAGGAGGATAACGTTTATGCTAAGGTTTACCATAAGGATGGCACTGAGGTAGATCTTACAAAGAACTCACTGCCAAGCGCGGGCAAGTACGAAAAGGTGAATATGTTTCTTTAAAGTACTGCGAATAGATCCGTTCAGAAGTTTTATTTCTTGATGTATCAAAGAAACTCAAAGGAGGATATTCTCATTTTCAGCAAGTTTATTACATGGCTGCAAAATACAACTAAAACTTTAAATGTAAGAGTAAAAAATGTTAACTTCATGACCAAGGAGACTCAGTAAATATAAGAAAAAACTCAATATTTTGAGTAATTTGAGTAAAACTACCTATAGCATTCTCTACAACGGTCAATACAACAATCAATCAATATGAGGCGTTCTGCACAGATCTGCACAAATGCAGATGAATGACTTCCCATTGTTTCCTTTTTAGAAATGATTTACAGTCAGTGAAATACTTCTAGGGCTGTGGTAAATTGATCCATATCACATTTATACATCACTGGCAGCATGCTGAAATACCCCCATGGCGTTGTCACCTAGCTGTAAACATCTTCCACCTCACTGGCACAGATTGACAACCTGCTCTGAATTTATTGCACCAATCAAATATCACCTTTATTTCCCTGCTTGAATTAATCAACGCTATTGATTTAAAAGAGACATCGTGATTCATGTTTCGTAGCCTTGCCACCTCTCGCTACTATCTTGCTTCCTCTCCTTTAGGCACGTTTGAGGTCTTCGGCCTTTAAGCCTGTGACCCCCAAGAATTTTAGCTCAATGCAAAACCTCTACCCGTCTTCCAAATCAGAGGACGTGGATCATGGCCTCTCTAACGGCTTGCACAGAGCGTACGCCCATGTTCCCAAAGCCGTCTCCACCTCGTCTTCTTCTTCCTCACCGTCACGTCACGGAGGACCGACGTCAGCCGGCAACAAGGTGAGCTAACGCTACAACCTTCATCCATCCTGTTATTATTATCTCGTTTACCTTTGTTAATCTTGGCGGAAAGCTGCGAGTTGCGAGCCGGGGGAGCGAGATCATAGGTGCACAACAATTAACTATGCGCGACTTATTATAAAATTCATTTCCATTCATTATTTATGGCTAAAATTAAACTTTTTTCAGCTCATTAATGCTACACTGATGAACAGCTGTATAATTATGACTGTGTAGGCGCTCTCCTCGGTGTGTGGGATGGGCCAGGAAGATGACAACCTGTCAGACTCGGGCCATAACTCCATGAGCAGCCTGCCGCCGTACCGACCTCCCTTCCGCCCACACCTGTCTCACATCAGGTCTGCTGCAGTATTAGTCTTAACTATACTTTGAGCTGAAAAGCAGTGTTGCTATATTTGATTTTTTTTTATGGTTAATGACTGTGTGGGTTGTGATAATAGAAGAGATTTTAATGGCCTTTGTGGATTCTTTTCTTTTCTTTTTTAAATAGTGCATCTATGGGCCACATCAATACCATCGGCTCCCTGGACCGCACCTCTCTGGGAATGAAGGCTGTGGGCTCAGGGGGCGTGCCTATTGGGGAGATGGCATGTCGAAGCATGGCTACTCTGAGCCGTATTGCTCCATATAGCGCGGAGGCTCCACCTCCTTATGAATGGACGCTCTCCCTGTCTGTGGAGGAGGTGGTGAGTGCTGGTGGGGATGAGTGGTGGGTGTGATTTAAAGATTCCTAAATGCTTCATGCTGTTGTCTTTTCCAGGTGCGGGATCTGGAGGAGCGCCTGGTGGAGAAAGAGCATGAACTCAAGCAAATGAAGAGAAACCTGGATGAGAGCGAGGGCGCCATCGCACAGGTGACTCTAATCATCTTCTTCTTCAGAATCAGTCTACGCACCCGTCTTCATCACCCTTTAACATCTGACCTTTTCATCTCCTCCACCATATTCAGGTGTTTGAAGGGAAGCAGCGTCTGTGGGAGAAGGAGGTGGAGGAGCTGAAGCGCCTGTATGCTGTTAAGCTGCGTCAGGTTTCCCAGCATGCCCAGCGTTCCCAGCGCAGCCTGCAGTTGCAGCTGTTTAAGGTCCAGCAGGAGAAGAACCGGCTGCAAGAAGAGCTCGACGGTATGAGAAAGGAAATGTGCCGGGAGGCTGGAGCAGTGCCCAGGCAAACCAGTCCGACTCTGGAGGAGACACAATGGGAGGTGAGGCCGTGGAAGGCCAGGGCAGTCACAGTTCATGGCAGGGAGAAGCACATAAAAGTAACTACAGGGAAGAGACAAGATATCTGGATTCCTTGTTTGTCCTTTTTGAATCATGGCGACCCGTAGCCTCCTTCATTTCCCTTTGACTCTCTCCCTCTCAGGTTTGCCAGAAGTCGGGGGAGATCTCCTTGTTGAAGCAGCAGCTGAGGGACTCCCAAGCAGAGGTAACTCAGAAGCTGAGTGAGATCTTCCAGGTGAAGACAGAGCTCAGGGAGACGCGAACAGAGCTGCGCAACAGGGAACGCCAGATAGATGCTTTAAAGCTTGTCCTGCAGGGGACACAGCGTCACAGACGACCTTCTCAGGCCGCACACGAAGACGAAAAAGAAGCTGAAGAGAATCCATCTGCTCGGGCGATAGGTAGAGTTACATCTCTCATGTCTTCATATATTTGGGTTAGTTGCACTTTTGGGCACAGCAGCTGTTTCACACCACAGTGTTTGTAGGCCACAGATGTGTTTTTAAAATTAAACTAAGCGAGTCGTCTCAGACAGATGATTGGCTTATTTTCAGTTCTGACATTTCAATGTGTCAACCCAAAAATCAGGTCGTTTGAGTAACCGGGGCAGGAATTTAAAATCAGCCAGTGTTTTTCATCATAGCCCCCCCCCCCTCCCCTCCCCTGATGGCTCTAGCTGAAGCCATGTGAACCACTTTCTCTGCAGGAGGGTGCGGGGGCCCCACAGAGGAGCGTCTGCGCGCAGAACTGCTGCTGGAGCGACGCCAGAGCGAGGCCCAGGCCATGGCTTTCGAGGAAGAGAGGCACACGTGGCAGATGGAAAAGGACAAGGTCATCCGCTACCAGAAGGAGCTGCAGGCCAGCTACTTAGACATGTACCACCGCAACGAAGCGCTCGAAAGGGAAGTGCAACAGCTGAGGGCAAGCAGAGAGCAACAAGGTGGAGGAGCAGGCGGAGGAAGCAGAGATGGCACTTTGGAAAAAGAAGCGCCAGAGCTTAGGAAAGAGAGAGGAGGTGACAAACAAGAGGACACACCTTCCCCTGGTCTGCCGTGGATAGAGCGGATCGAATCATCGGAAATTTGACTGTGACCTACTTGTTTGCAATGCAAAGTGTGTCTATGGAAGACCATATCTGCCAGGACAAGGGGAAAAAAATCTAATGAATTGATGTTGCTGTAAAGAATTGTGAGATAACAAGCAAATATTTAATAATAATAATGATAATGATAATAATAATAAAAACTAAAAGACTTGTGTCAAAATAAAGGATAAATGATTAAGAATTTTGATTTAACAAGTCAAAACTGTAAAATTATTAGTCAGATTTTATACTTTGTGTGTGTAATCCAATTCTTGACTTGAACCGTAAGTCCAAAAACATGTGATACCAAACATTCAGTCCAAAAACAAGCATCATACGCTATTCCAAGTGATGACCATAAAAAAGACAAAAATAGGTCAAACTTTAATGTGCTACATTTTTTTAATTATCACATCAAACTTTATATCTATTATCCCAAATTAAGTAAGTGAACCTGGACTTACTGAAGAGTATTTATTTTTAGCATAATTAGCTTTTCTTTGATTTTGTCTTCTTTTCATGGTACAGAAGGACTTCCACAGACTGCTCACTCTTCTTCCATCTCTTCCACTCCACCCTTGTTTAATTAAAACCCTTTTCCTGCTAAAGTTGGACCCCCAACCTCACACAGAGCCAAGTGATATTGAGGTTCCTCTATCCTTGTTGCATTAACGCTGTAAAAAGAAAAAATACAGCCAAGCACCTAAACGGTCCAACTTAAGACTTCTTTTTATTGATAAACCTGTAAATGAGAAAATTGACATGATGATTGTGACTGCTTTGTGTTGATTTGGGTTGAGCCTGACCGATTATACCAGGGGTCCCCAATCCCAGTCCACGAGGGCCCTGCAGGTTTTAGATGTGTCCGCGATCCATCACAGCTGATTACATGGATAAATTACCTCCTCAACATGTACCGAAGTTCTCCAGAGGTGTGGTAATGAACTAATCATGTGATTCAGGTGTGCTGACCCAGGGTGAGATCTAAAACCTGCAGGGATACTGGGCCTTGTGGACTGGGATTGGGGACCCTTGGATTATACAGTAGTTAACATCTCACAGCCTCTTCAGTGTTTGCAGACTATCTATAAATTCAGGGTTCACCTGGACCTTTGGAGCAAACAGCTTCTTCGGGTTAATTATGAAGAATGGTGCCAAGGCAGAGAAAACGGTGCATAGTAAACTGGAAATACTCACCTTACTTCCTTCAGTTTCCAGACAGGTGAGGTTTATATATAAATATGTATTTTGTACATAACTGTAATTTTTATTTGCCATGATACTTCAAGAGCACTGTCGTCTTAAATATGCATACTTTAACAAAATCAATCGGTAGATGCATTTATGATTGCCATGCTTATTTGGTGCGATTTGTTGCACAAACCCAGCACATAACATCAAATGCATGCCCGTAGTGAAAATATGTCCTCTGGTATTGTTATTATTGATATTATAAACATTCAAAAACCAGCTCTCATTTGACCTTTTCCGCATACTGTGATTCACATCTATTTACTGGAAATAAAGCTGTACAGTATAAAGATTTGTTTTCTGTTTGTGAATTATTCCTGAAGAAGAGCAAAATCAGCTCAGATCCCTTTTTGTAAATCTGGGCTGCAAAAAAGTGTTACAATAACCCTTTTCTATACAGCGTAGCCCAAACTGAACGGCTAGAAATCACTTGAGAAAACGTTAGAAGGGTGACTGATGGTATTTGCTCAAGGACTTGACCTGCCTGCTTTGAAGGGGCTTAAAATCCACAGAGAGTATACCAATAAAGCCCACTGATAGGAGCTTTATGACAGAGTTGTGCAGGCTTTTGGGACTAATATGGCTTTTAGGGGTTTATCCTTGGATCCTTATCTCACCCTCTCCCTGAGGCCCTCCCTGTTCTACCTCAGCCAGCCCTCACATACCATCGCCTGCAGTACAGACAGGAAAGAGGTGGAAGGTCAGCTCAGATGGAAACATAGGAGGATCCCTGATTGGGGGTGTCTCTGTAGAAACCAACAAATGCACAAGCCTGAACTGAATGCCAAGAAAAAGTTGGCAGGAATGAAGGTTTAACACCTGACTGTTTTCCAGGTGAAAAAAAAATGTGCAATGGAAACACAAAAGTGAGAAAAAGGCAGAGCACATGTAAGTCCATAATGCAGGGTGATAATCTGAATAGATACGAGCTGCAGCTGACTCACAGGCCCTTACCTTGGCATTTAAAACATTATATAAACTAAGGCTTAATATAACCGTGCAGCTCCAGAGAGGCTGATTGATTTACTGAAGTGGGATGAGGAAAGATTCTTACCTCTCACATGCTGTCAGTCTGTGGGAGTACTGCAGCGCTGCAAGGCAGCACCACGGTTTATCTAATAAATTAATGTGCTGGTTAAATATTAGTGAATTATTTCAGAAGATAACATTTCTAGCTGTGAATCTGGAATACAAATCTGTTTTCTCAAACACATAAACGCTATTTAGATTGACACTAGTGCCACCAAGTGGTAGCTACACAAATCCCTCCCCGTGTGGTAGGAGCAGTCCATCACCAAGTCCCAGTACAAGCCTCCATAAACCAACTGGAGTATAAATTTTTATTTTAATTTCAGATGCAAGTATATGAAACATGTTAGAGGATAAATATTTACAATAAAAGTCGCATAACACAAAAGCAGGAAACACACACATTCAGCTAAAAAAAAATTAAAAAAAAAAAAAGTTAATACATGTAGTACGAAGCGCTAGGGGTCTATCTGCAGGGACAGTCAAAGAAGCAGAGAATGATTGTCAACCAAAGAGGAGGAAAGCGGAGAGGAAACTCCACACAAAGCCGAACTGATTCAAAATCAAACCTAAAGCTGAGTAATGCTGGTGCAGTGCTTGCTGAGAGAAAAAAAAAA